TGGGGCAGGCACACTGGCTGATACTATCAAGTTAGAAGGAGACTTCCATAATGGCACCCACCAGTGCTGGCACTAGCAAGCAAATGGCAAAAATGGTGCGCACCATGACCCCTGACCCCAGAGACATTCCCAGCAGATTCCTGCCTCTCTGGCAGATGCTTTAAGATTAGTAAGTGGGTCTTCTTCACACATGGTCTAGGTGCTTTTCAGACTGCTACTTTTGGTCCAGGTACTGAGGTAAATCTGTGTGCAAGCCCTTTAAGAGCAGGTGTTTTGTTTCCTACAGTTCTGTGGTTCTCCTGGACATAATATCGATTTGTTTTCAAAGCCAGATATCTTGAGGACTCATCTCCACAGTGCTGAACTCAAGGGTTGGGGTGCTTAATGTGGGCACAGACCCCTTGTTCCTCAGGGAAAAGGTTTTTTTTTTTTTTTGTCTTTCATTATCTTGTACTGATTCCTGAAATTCTTCATCTTCTCATGCTTGTTTGTTTTGTATAATAATTATAGTTATTTTGCAGTCCAACTATCTGACTCTCTTTTGAATACTTTTTTTGTTTGATTCTTTGTTTTATTAAATTTTGCTTATTTTATATGTGGTTATTTATTTATTTTTCTTGAAGGCTGGGCTTTATGAAGGACACCTTGTCAGGGTACTTTAGGCCATCAATATTGTTGGCCTCACCATGAAGAGTTTCACTTTAGTTCTGATACGTGGTTAAAGTAAGAATACCTTACCTCATTTCAATTAGAAATTGAGCTAATTCTAAGACAGACCACATACTTTGTGATGACTGGTTTATTTCTGATTTACCTTTACTCTCGGCATTCCTTTGGTGGTCTGTTTCTGCTATTCCTTGGTAAATTCTGAGCTCCAATGCTCAATCCTACCCAATGCCATAAATACTGCTAAAGCTCTCTTCATATTACTAGCCTTTCTGAGAGCTTTTCTAAATTAAAAAAATGCAAAAAACATGCTGAGGAAAAAAGCCACCGAAGGCAAGCTTTATCTCTTTTAGCTTTTTCAGATTTTCTGAAATCCTGACCCATTTATCTTTGCTAATTTGTTAGTAATCCAATGCCTTAAAACATGTGTTTTAAATATTTTGTCCATTTTTTCCTAGTTTTTTTCCCCCTTGGAAAAACATTAATTGGAAACACCTACCTTATCATTACTGAAAGTAAAAATCCACCAAATACTCTGTCTTAAAATTTATGTTATCATAATCAAGTTATCAATAATTATTTGACTAAACTATAGCTTTTGTTGATTTCCTTTGCACACTAATTATGGGTTTTATACCACAAAATACTATTTTTTAATGTTTCCTTTAAAAATTGCTGCAGTATATTTTTTAAAAGTTTCCCCTTTGAAAAAAGTTTCAATTAAAATCTTAGTTATGTTTTTGAAAATGTCTTTATTTTGCCCTTGAATATGTATAATGTGTTAAATGAGCACTGACTTCTAAGTGCAAAATTATTTTCCATCAGGACATTAAGATTTTTTCTTAGTATCCACGTTTGCATTTGAGATTCTGATATCAGTCAGGTGATATTTTTCTTTTATTTGTGTTATTTTTTTCTACTTGTTTCAGTTGAACTTTCCTTCTCTTTTTCTTGTCATTTTTTCCCCCTGGGGAATGTTTTAAGATTTTCTCTTTATCCATTGTGTTTACAACTTTCACCAAATAGTATCTAAGTCTCCCTTGGCCTAATAGAAACTCTCTTAAGTCTTGAATAATTTTCAGCTCTGAAAACTTTATTATTTCCCCTTCTTTATTTTTATTTCACTTTCTAAAACTATTATATAGATATTAGATTTTCTGGATCAATTGTCTATGCCCGTTTACTTTTATGTTCTAGTGTCTGCTTCTGTCTTTTTATAGTATTTTGGTTACAACTGTTTTGTTTATATCTCACAGATAATAAAATCACTTCCAAACAAAGTCCATTATATTACTGTTATTTTATTGTTTTAAAATATGGTGGTATATTTTCAGAGCTCTTTACTGATCTGGAATGGCAATTTTTGCCGGTAAACTACTTGCATTTCAATAATTTAATATGTTTCTATGTAAATCACACCATGACTCTCCCAGGAGTGAGAGGGCAGTCTGTTATTGCTGCTATGTGTACCAGGACTTTCAGCAAGCAACCATTGCCTTAGCATGTGCAAAAATTTGGGAATACTATGATATTTTGGGAACTCCAAATTCCAAAATGAAGGAAGCATTATTTGTAAAGGAGGATACTTTAATTTAATATATAGGGACACCTGGGAGATATTGGGGATTTGGATCCAGACCATCACAATAAAATGAATATTGCAATAAAATGAGTCACACAAACTTTTTGATTTCTGAGGGCATATAAAAATTATTTTTACACTATACTATTAAGTGTGCAATAGCATCATATCTAAAATATCAATGTACATACCTTAATTAAAAAGTGATTTGTAGCTAAAAAATGCCAAAGCAATTATAGTAGTAACATCACAGATCACTGATCCCAGATAACCGTAGCAAATATAATAATAATATGTTTGAAATATTGCAGGAATTACCAAAATGTGACACATAGACATGAAGTGAGCAAATGCTGTTGGAAAAATGGCACTTATAGACTTGCTTTGTTCAGAATTGCCACAAATCTTCAATTAAAAAAATGCAGTATCTGCAAAGCACGATAAAGCAAAGAGCAATAAAATAAAATATGTCTGTACTCTGGGAGAGGATTCTCTTTAATTTTCTTCCTTTTGTTATGGATTCTGATCTGTTATTCATTATGACTTTACCAGTCTTGTCAATGTACTCCCCTTTTGTTTGTATAATACCTCCTTTATTTAAGGGTATGTCTCATGTTTTATTTGGAGTAAAGTAGCAATCAGTCTCATGTGAATCTCTGTGTACAAAATGTGGGGAAGTATTATTGGCACATTTATTCTATGAATATAGGCGTACATGTAGGAGCCCGATGATTGTCTCATGTTCTGCTCTGCTCACTGTACTTGTTGGCCTTGAATTTGGAAATAATTTTGTGCTTGTTTGAAAAAAAATTTTTCTAGAGAGCCTGTATTTAATTTATTTTAGGCTGCTGTTTATGTAATCTAATTTTCCATCCAACTTCCTTATCTTTTCTTGATTTTTTTTTGAAAGTATCTGATCTGTTGATGACATATTCTATTTTCCAATAATGTTATATATTTGTCATTTTATTTTTAGTTTATCGTTAATTTCAACATGGTTTTGAAAGAGAGCAGAAAATAAATATTTGTGCTTAAAATATCTTGACACAGAAATTAAGGCAGAATTTTACAACAAATATTTGTCATAAAATGGCTAAATTAAGTGGATGTTTGGCCCCTTATTACTCTAAGGGATAAAGAATATAAAAATAGATAATACATGTGACAATTAATTAATGATTATAAAAACTTGTGGACATATTAGTTATTACTATTTTTTTCTACTGTTGCCTCAATATTAACTCTTCTCACTGAGATTAAATGATCATCATTAATAATATATTTTAAAAATTTTGATTTTGTATATTAAATTAATTAGAAATGTCATGGGATTGGGTGAACTGATTGCTATGGTAACTTTCAAATTCAGATTTGACTTTAAAGAATATTCTACTTAGGTCATTCATCCTTTAAATTTTTAAAAATTTTAAATTGCCATTGTTTCTTTTCTGTTGTCATTTTTGAAAACCTTGAATACATTGTTTATACCTACTTTATCCATTTTATATATCCTTGTTATAATCACTTTTTCACATTCCAAATTTTGTTTCTTTACAATCCAATTTCTGTTTCCACCCCCTTTCCTGTGTTTGCATTTTTGAAGTTTATGAATAATTTTCTTTTTTCTTCTTAAGTATGTCAATGCCCAAAGTCATCCAGTTAAAGAACAATAAACAAAATAAATAAGTATTAATCTTTGCTATCTCTTGCTACTGTATGGCTAAATTGTATGCCATGTCTCTTGTAGCTCATGACTGATTATCTCCCCTTTTATTTGCATTATAGCTATCTATATTACCGTTCTTGAATTACAAAATCATTTGCAACTAACTTTGTGTTTCACTAATTATCTCCCTTCTATCCTTCTCAAATGCTAACTGAGATAAGACTTTCTAAAATCCCACATAATCATTTACTTGCCTGTTCACAGACTTCAAAATGATTCAATTTTTAAATTAATAAACTTCAGGCTACTAGGACATCTTTTTCATCTTTCCAAAATATGACTCAATTGCTAAGAAACATCGTATCTTTTTATTATCTCTGTGTTTTTAACTAAATTGCTTTATTAATTGTTAAAAATATTTCCTATAATAATAATTTTCATTCATTCCACAGGCATTGTTAAACTCTGAGAAGAAAGGGCAATCCCAAATGACATAGTGTTAAATTTACCAGTTCACAAATGAGATTGTATGGTAGGGGCTTAGGGCTTAAGAAGAACTTCATAGAATCAGAAAATTGAGAGCATAGAAAGGGGAAAAAAACATAAAAGACCTGGTCTAATCCTTATCCTTTGCTTGCATATACTTTAGTAAACATTTTACTATTTATTTTTGGGCAGTACTTGATTATTTTTTGCACTTAATACTTCTCATTGGCCATGTGATATCTAGTTGAATATCTCTTTGAAAGAAATCTTATCACTACCTGGAAGAGATCTAGAACACCATAAAATTTTAACAGAAAGTTCTTTCTTCAGTGAATAAAAGCTCTCTTCTTTGAAATTTACTCTTGTATGGCCTATTGTATGCCAGAGGTCAATAATGAATATTACTGCAGGTGCACATTTGGACACACACAAACACACGTACCTCCAACAATTACAGCCAATACTTCTTTTTGATGAACATATATATATATAATTTATATATAAATAATTGACAATTAATTTTGGTGAAACAAATTTCTTTATTAATTTTATTACACATTTCAGTCTTCTAAGACTTTATACCTTCATAACATGAATAAATTACCTCTCATTCAATCTTTTTTTAACAAAGATACTCTGTACCCACTCCTGGATCTGTTTGGTCCTGATCCCATAAATGACTGGGTTGAGGGCAGTGGGGATGACTACATAAAAATTAGCCAGAAGGATATGGATATACTGGGGGATGCTATGACCAAAACGATGGGTGAAGAAGGAGAAGAGAGCTGGGCCAAAGGAGGCTAAGATAACACAGATATGAGAACTACAGGTATTTAGAGCCTTTAGGTGGGCATCTTGGGAAGGGAGGTGAAAGATGGCATATAAGATCCTAGCATAGGAGATAATGATTAGAAGCACATCCAGAAACAAGATAGAAATATTCCCAAGACCATAGTAGACATTGGCACTAATGCTGGCACAAGCCAGGCATGCCACTCCCATGTGCTCACAATAGGTATGAGGCAGCCTCAGGAGGAGAAAAATGATGGGAACAATCATGCTTAAGCTTCTTAGAACTACCACCACAGCAATCACACCAATGACTCTGTTGGTGAGGATCATGCTGTACCTGAGGGGGTTGCAAATCGCCACATAGCGATCAAAACCCATGGCAAGAAGTACAATGCTCTCCATGACCGTAAAAAAGTGGATAAAAAAGACTTGAGCAATACAGCACCCAAAGCACAGCTCCTGAAGGCTGAACCAGAAGATACCCAGCATCTTGGGGATGGTAGCTGTAGAAAGACTCAGGTCAATCACTGACAGCATGGCCAGGAAGTAGAACATGGGTTGATGAAGGCTATGATCAGTCAGATAACAAACAGAATGATAACATTTCCAACAAGAGCAGTCAGATTCACCACACAGAAGGGCAAGCCAAACCAGATTTGTGCAACTTCCAACCCTGGAATTCCCAGCAACAGGAATGAAGATGGACGGGACTCGGTGAGATTGGGAGAAGACATTCTTCTGCAAGCTGATGCTGACATGGTTTTTAAAAAATTGTTGCTGGTCACTATTGGACAGCTTATCCACAGTTAATTGACATCTACAGAAATCAAAAAAAAAAAATCCCGACACAAAGGACTGCCATTAGGAATAAGTTTCTCTAAAGACCTTTGGTTCTTTTTCCTTTTTCAGCTCCATAAGTTGAGAGCTGAGGTGCCAGTTAGAAGCTAACACTGTGTCTTTCTTTAAATTATGGATTCAAAGTAAATAAATGCACTAACACTCCTCTTCCTCAAAAAATAAATACTACTGGGAAATAATTAAATTTATAATAATAAAACTGTCACAATAATAATAGCTATCATTAATTTGATTCCTACTGTTTTTCGTTTTTACCATTATTTGTATATATTATCTCATTTCATTCTCCCTACAATTCTATGGCACAAGTTCTGCTTGTATCTGGTTTATGTAAGAAAAAGGTTTTGATATGTTAAGTAACTCCCCATTGCTTCCAAAACTAATAAGCATCAGAATCAAGATTTGAAATTAGTTTGCAACTAGGCTCAGGGATACTGAACTGGACCCGTGTTTGCAAACCTGTTAAAAGAGGTAGTGAAAGGAGGGAGAAAAAAAATAGGGGATGAGGATGAATGAAAGGGCTTGGTATAGCCAAAACTACCACAAAGAGGCATGGATCTGAAATATTTATGCTATCAGATATTGAGATTGTCTATAAGGCTATGATGATATGACAGTGTTTGTTACTGGCAAAAAAATAAAATAAAAAGGCACAAAAAGAGACAGTGGAATAGAATTAAGTCTAGAAGCAGATTCACATAATTCTAGGGGCCCAGTAGTTAAAATTAAGGTATCTTTAAGTAGGAATTTAAGATAAGTTGTCAAGGGGGTATGATAGTCTGTGGTTTCCTCTCCATAAGTTCTTTTTCAAGAACTTGTTGACTTCTGTAACTGTTGAGAGAAATGTGACATTGATCTGATCTAAATAACTGCAAAATTTAAGGCACAGTTTCTAAGACTATCCTCATTTCTGACCTCAATTGCAAGTTCAGGGGTTTTCCCAAACTACACTGGGGTTTAGTAATTCACTAGAAAAACCACAGAACTCACTGAAAGCCATTATACTCATGGGTATAGTTTATTATAGGGAAAGATCAAAATCAGAAAAGAAAGAAAGACTTAGGGTACAGTGTGAGGTTTCCAAATGTGAAGCATTCATTGTACTCTCACATGGAGTCAGGATGAAGTACCCTGCTGACATTAAAGTGTGACAATATGCATGGATTCAGACTGCTAATCAAAGACGCTTGCCTGACCTCAACGTCCAGAGTTTTTACTGTCTTCATTACCTATAGTTGATTGATTGATAGATTCAATCTCCAGGTTGATGGGTGCCGCATGACACAAAGCTCCCACCCTAAGTTACATTGTTGGTCTTTATGGCAAGGCCAGATCCAACTCTAAGATCTAGTTTGGCCAATCCTCACCTTAAACAAAGACACTCCTATCAGATATGACATTGATTACTTCCTAGAAGCCAAGAGCAAAGGCCAAACCTCTCTCTGGGCAAGGCCAAATTCTTTACTATGCATCTACTTCTTTAGTTACAAAGTTTTTTGTCTTTTGTTTTTGTGGTTTTGTTTTTTG